GAAAGAAGATCAAGCAGCAATCCCTTTAACCTTTCAGAGTAAACGGGCGGACTATGAGTCCGCTTGTCGAATTATTTGTCGATTTCTGACAATAAATTATGATTTCGGTTATGGCGTGTTCGCTAGCTTCAAGCGAGAGAACATTCTCTTCAGAACAGTTGTGAGAGTTGTCAAGAGAATTTAGTTCTGCTGCTATATTGAATTTTGGAACGTGAGTCCGCACGTAATATAAGTTGTCACAAATCTTTTGGTAAAATTAAATTTTAAAATATTCTATTTGTGGGATAGATAAAAAATATTTATGTAATTTATAATTGGGAGTGATCTACTGATTATGTTTTTTGTATATTTGATTGATATAAACTTATTTGTTAAATTTGTTAATTTGTTGTATTAAAAAAAAGATTTTTGGAATATGAGTTTTGAAAAGCAACAAACATATCTTCAAACGCTTTATGCATAATTTCTCTCATCGATTTGGAAGAAGATTTCAAAGAGATACAGGACAACGACAGCGACATGGAAGAAGAAATTGAGAAGCTAATCTAAGAAATGTTAAACGTTTCACAAAGAGTGTCGCATTTCATTTGTAAAGATGGAACAACTAAATGGAAGAAACGTGTAACAGGCTGCCGGATACGAATCGCAGTGACAATTTAATAAAGGTAAACATTTTTGAAGCTACTAGAGAAGTACAACATATTATGAAAAGTGCATCAAGGATTTGGAGTTATTTTTTCACTGAAGAGATTTTGCAATAAATTGTAGACAACACGAATATATCATTGAACTGTGTTCTTACAATATCAGTAATAAATCTGCACAAAAGACAGATATTATTTATTGTTTTAATTGATTTTCAAATGTTATTTACTACAAAATTTTTACAATATATATTCTTTTAAATATATATTTATGCTTTTGTTTATGTTATTTCGAATGATTTTTAAATAATTTCGTTGTTTACCGAATTATCATTTATTTATTCCCTCACTAAAACCCTTTTTTAATAGAACGAGTGCCGTGGCACAATAGTCTGCAAAAATGTTTGAGGTTTTATGTTTTTGTAATAATTTGAGTAATCCTATGTACAAATCAAAGTAAATAGCTAATACCGTACATATAAATAAATATTATGCAAACTGCAAAAAAACATAGAGAAATGTAATTTTACAAAAAAATATATTAGTGATTTATTCATTCTAACAAAGCGCATGATCCTTGAAAATCTAAACTAGACCACTACTCGTATCATTTCCAATTTAAAAACATTAAAAACTATTTATTAAAAGTAATTTTATTGATAAAACGATGTACGCCAGCAATTATTTTTACTGAAAAGTGCAGATATAAAATTCAAATTTACTTAATTAATTATTTTCATCAAAACTATCCGTGCAAAAAATTATGTATATCTTGTTTTACTGAATTTGTATCATTAGGTTATAACTTTATTTTGATAAACATTGTAAAAAAAGATAAAATAAAATTGTAAAAAGCAACCAAAACCTATAACACAGAATTTTAATCACAAATCAAAAAAATAACATAATTAGAAGTAACAGTAATAAATAAAATTTACGAATATGCTGTGTATGCCCACCACAAACATCTCTACATAACGTATAGTCCATTTCCATCATATTGATAGTACATTATGTATGCAAATCCCTAAACTGTTGATACGGGTGACTCAATGAAAAATAGATATTTGTCAACAAGTTTACAGAACTATATAGGAAAACAATTTTAAATTGAGTATGACCACCAGGTATAAAGGTTGAAGCAGAATAGAATAAAATAGTTTTAAGGGTTACTTATCCCTAAATAAAGTTGCCAGTGTCGGAGTGATAGAGATTAACAGGTACTAATTAATTTGCAAAAAATGTAAGATGTTTATTTTATTGGCCGTATATATATAAAATAATTTGTGGCCGTAATAGGGGCCGATTTGTAAAAAAAATGAATATTATTTTAATCAAATTCCATTTCAGATTCACTGCTTTCTTCAGAATCTAAGGAATCTTCAACTCCAACGTTAATTATTACCAGTTCCAGCATTGCATGTCATATTATCCAAATTCCACATTTTATTTTCTTCCTTGTGAGCATGACTAACAACATTTTTCCAATTTTCTGGAGTTACTTTTGATAAGGAATGTTCTAGTAATTGTTGTAAGTCTTCTAATTTAAAAGTTTTGTTGTTGCGTCCGACTTCACCCTTTACTTGAGACCATATATTTTCTGTCGGAATTAGATCACAGTGGTATGGGGGTAAACGTAAAATAATTACATCACGGTTTAATGCCATTTCATCAATTATTTCTTTTTTATAAGCTAATTTATGTTGCCTTACAATAAGACACAATTCTTTTTTTGTCGAATTCTCCTTGTACTCAATTGCGTGTTTATCCAACCATTCGATTATCTCTCCTTTTCTCCATGCCGTTGTTGGCAATTTTTCTGTGAGTCTTAAATGGTTACTAGCATTATCCATGACTATGACAGAATTTTTTGGAATTAAATCCAACATTTGCTCAAAATATTCTTCAAAAACGTCAGCAGTCATTTCCTCGTGGTAATTTTTGGTTGATTTTGAGGCACAACTTAATAATTCACCACTGACAAAACCGTATGTATTTCCAATATGGGTTATTATGAGTCTGCGTCCTTTTCCAAGGGGAATATTGTTTATTCCAGTAGATACACCTTCGATGAATGCCTGACGGCAACATTTCACATTTGTATCAACCCATAGATTCACAATTTCTAATTAACATTATTGGCATAAGCTGTAATGTGGCATAAAAACTACTTAAACTATCACTAGTGAAGCCTTATCAGTAATTCCAGGTAATCGTTCAAAGAAGGTATTCTTTTTGTGTCAGGCGATAACTTGTATAGAAAACAATAATCACCTTTAAATTACTGTTTACATTAATTTATTTCGCGAAACATTGAATTATCTCGTTAATCACCCGTGTATAATTAACAATAATCGTGTGGCATATATACCGACGTTTTTTACGCACAAAATAGGTATAGTGAGATTAGTGGACACTTATTTTACAGAAGATTTTTTAAAAGATACTGAATTATTGACGGCATCTTAAAATTTTAATTTTTTTTTATTTCAAAACAAGTATAGAATGACGCCTATGGTTTTTTGACCTGTTGAGGATTTGCATACATAATGTGCTATCAATACGATGGAAAAGGACTATAACTCTTCTTCCAATTGAGTCTATAACTTTATTTATGACCTACGTAGTACTATTTAGTTCTTATAATTCTCTATTCTTTGCCAAAGATCTGTCAAATCTGGAAGGAAAACAGGAGTTTTAAAAATCAAATTTTTTAAATATCGCCGGAGAAAAAAATCGCAAGTCGAAGCACATGATTGATATTATAGGCGTGTTTAAACTTATCATCCTATTGTCGAAAAAGTCCAGAATAAAATTCAAATTTTGTAGCGATTAGAGCCCCATCTTGCTGAAAATATTCTTCTAATTCAGCACCCATCAATTGATTTATAAATAACGTTAAAATTTCTCGACGGTATTTTTCAGCATGTAGGTATCCATTCGAAAAATAAAGGTTCTAAAATACATCGCTTGCTTATAGTGACCCAAACTTTAGTTTCGGTAAATATAAAGGCGTTTCACCCATTGACGGTGAAGCATATTCTGATTGACCATAAACACTGACCATGTAATAAATTATTTAAAATATATCAACATTCTTTCTTCTGAATGAACCACGCTATCGTTTACTTTTATAGAAAACTGGTAAATTGAATTAGAAGTAGAATTGCATGCTTCTGGTTTTTTAAACATTAACAATTAAAGCATTTTTTTACACCACTCTGTGAAATCTTCTGATATAACATTCAATTAAACAGTTAATTCCTCGGCAATTGAAGCAGATGTAGCGATAGTTGTGTCATCTGCATCCATAAATATGTTGTTTAAACTGATATATCTGGGCATATCATTAATATGCCCAGACATGACATATAGCATAGGAATATTAATGGCTCCAATAATAAACCTTGAGGAACCCCAATATTAATATTACCATAATCTGATCGTGTATCACTAAGTTTAACGAGGATCTTCCTAGAATGTAAATACGATTATAGCCATAATAAGAACTCATAAAACCAAGATTTTTTAACTTCTCTATAGCAACTCATAAGTTTATGGTATCAAATGCTTTTGAGGGATCAAAGAAAAGTGCCCCCACAAAATTTCCCGATCCAGTGCGATGTGAATGAAACTAAGCAATTCAGTGGTAGCACACTTTGTTGATCTTCCAGGTAGAAAACCGTGTTGGTTGGAACATGATATATTGTATTTGCTAAGGAGACTATACATTCTTTTGTATATATATTTTTCATAAATTTTGCCCAAAATAGTAGGGACTGTAACTGGGCTGGAATTATCTAAAACGGAATTATCTCCACTCTTGAATATTGCAGTTACAACTCCTACCTTCAAGCTATGTGGAAAAACACCCTGTTCTACTGATAAATTTATTAAATTTGCAATATATTCACTAATACACTTTATTAATTAACATTTTTCAAGGAGCCAATAACCTTTCTAACATCGTACTTATTTACACTAAAAAAATAAAAGGATTTATATGTTGTGTGGTATAATTAGTGGTGGGTTGCTATTATAAGAACTGCTACTTTGTCACTGTTACAACGCTGTTACAGTCGCAGTCTGCTTCAGCTGGAATAATGTAGATGTGACATTTAGTCACGTTTCGAAACTAAAGCATTTTCAATACAGCGTTATTAAAATAATGTAGCAGTCGCTAGCATATAATAATGGTCGATATTATTTGCTATTTGTCACATAAGGAACGACGTGGTTAAGAGAAAATAGCAGCGTTAAAAATCTTTAACAAGTTATTGATTTTCTTAGGCATATTAAATTTTCATGGTAAAAAACAAAAGATTAAATGAAATAAAACCAATATATATTTATTTTTTAAACGCTAAAAAGGAAATTGACAATAAACAAAGATAAAGCACATTAAAGCAGTACAAAAAATATTGCCAGAAACTGGTAATGATAAATATAATGTGGTATATTCAATATTATATACATATATTTAAAGTTCGCTACTGGCATTTAAATGCAATAATTTTTCTACTTACTTATTTTCTACAACTTTATTTACACTAAGGCGTGATCGTCTTCCTGATATCAACAACTGCCCTGATTTCGAGAAGATACTCTCACAAGGGGCAGATGTTGCAACCATACCAAATTTTTCTGTCACCACTTTAGAAAGATGTGGGTAATTGTAAGAGTAATCACTCCACCATTGTAGTGGATCTTCATTTCTGTTTAAGATATCTTCCTCTAAGTATTGCTGGACCTTAATTCTGGCCCTAGACGTGGCAGATATTATAATCCTCTTTTTAACAGCTTTTTTTTCAAAGTGACCCAATGCAGAACGATTTTCTGTGTTGTCGTCTGTGAAAGTGAAAGGCGATTGCGTTGTTTCTTTAGATTTTTGAGTAACCAATTTAATATTGAATTCCTTGGCTCGTTCAGCTGCAGGATTTTTAAATCTAGGATCAATAAATACCTTTTAAAAACTGCCCGAGCATATTTTCAAATAAAGGCAATATATCTTCATTTCTCATTTTATTATAAATATTTTCAAGTCCTTTTGTCAAAATTATCACTGTAGATAAAGCCAAATATTTTTCTCCACTTATTATTTTAGTCACTTCTTCCATTTGTTTTAAGCACTCTTAGTAGTTGAAGTAGTTGCCAATCTTTAATTGAGTTAATGGGGAAACTGTTTACATTTAGTAAGGCCATAATAGTGCGAACTTCTTCTTCCAATTCCAAACTCTATCTAGCATACAAAGTATTCCTTGCTTTATGAGCGAATAGCGAATAAGAACTATGAAAGAATAGGTATTATTTTAATAAATTTTGATTCTAGGAATACCCTAAATAATAATACCTTAATAACTTAAATTTTTAATTGGGGGATTCCCTTAATCAAAATCCGACGAAGTTCGATCGGTATTTATCTGCGATGCAAGCAACGTTTACTTACTCTCACCGATAGCAGCTAAGTTACTGCTCCAAAAAATCACTTTTTTTGTCACCGTGACAATTCTGGAGCAGTCGCATCTTGTAGCAGATACGCAAAAATCGCAAGTTCGCCCACCAGTAGGTATAATGATCAAAATTGGTATTTTTAAAAATATTTATGATTTCATTTTTACAAGTAATAAACTGCTCTACAAAAGCGTTTGCCATCTCATATTTATTAGTAATAATTTTATCAGCAAGTTGGCTTTTTTCACAATTATTATGTTTTACCGTCTTACCTATTTTTTTATTAACCTTATGCCATATAAACTTCTGCTTTTACTGTATTGGCGACGTGCAAGTACTTGGAGGGGATACGAGAAACGATCGTGCGCGAGTAGCGGAGAAATTTTGCATTTTTTACTGTACATTTCATAGATTTCATAAATTCCTATTGTCAATTGTCATATTTCATATTCGTTTTGTTTATTTACATTTACACCTTCGTCACCTTCTGTCTCTGAAGAAAATGGGATTTATAGGAAATGCTGTGTTATAAATTGTAAAAATACAACAAAAAATTGTCAATTTAAGTTTTATTCGTTTCCAACTTCGAAGCACAAATCTACTACTAAGAGAACAATGCATTTATATCATAAAAAAGCATAAGTAACATAACCTAAATTATGCATTATTCTTGCGCCCGATTTTAAAGTCAGTTTGAAATAAATAATAAATAAAAGTTCACTTTTAAGTGTAAATTTTAGTTTCATAACACTCACTTACGAGTTCATTTTAACCCAAAAATCAAGTTTAATGTTGTAAAATGTAAATTTTATTTTTTTGAAGTTTACAAGAATGCATCAAGTTCAAGTTTTTCTGAAGATGCATTAAGATATATTCGCTGTCCAAAAGTTTACAGGGAACGAATTAATTGTTCAAACCAATATGATGATATCATGGGCTTAACCTGCTAATTTATGCATTAGCATTATTTATGGTAATTTATTTTTCTTAATTCTTCCATTATTTTTTGACATTTGCCACTGCTAAAGCTTTTCCCTTTGACTCAGTGCTTGGTTGAAAAGTTATTTGGTGATTTTCTTTCTCAAATCCAGTTTTTATTTGAATCCATATTAACAGTAATGCTGTAATTCAATAATATATTTATTTATATTTACCAGGTATTTACGCTACATCAGCGTTTACCTTTTAATAACATACCGACATAACCTCAATCTTACTTTTTCTTCTTATTCTTTTTTGGGGCCACGTCCTTGACAGTTATCCGGTTACATCGATCTAGCATAAAAGCGCAGTAAATTTTGTTGATTTACGACACCAGGTGTCGCTGTTCTGAACTTGCACGGTCCCAATACTATTCTTACATTCTAAACTATTTTGAAAGACACTCTTTTTTGTTTCGTCGATTAGTTTGACATATTGCGTATTTTTTTCTTTATATTTTAAAAGAATGCCTATATTTTTAGAATTATTTGATAGCCAAAAAAGACTTCTCAAATTATTTCCCTCGTGTATTATATCATTTGTTACACAACTATTTTTAGACTTATTGCAAATTCTTTTTGGATTCATTGGACAAGATATGTCAATATGGTACGTAAGTACCTTCAAAAAATTTTCAAATGCCTAATTCGCATTATCGAGATATTCGTAAACCTGTTCAAAATTTTCAGTAAAAAATCTGTTTTGCAAATTTAATAAATTCGATTAAGAAAGATTTCTCAATGTTACGTTTTGTCTTATTTTAAATTGTACTTTTTTTGGTTTAGCATCTAACATAAAAACTCGTGTAGGTTCTTTATTTTGTCATTTTAAATTAAAACTTTGTATAAAATCAGTGAGTAAAATTTTTTCCTTAAAGTCTTTAAGATAATCTATATTATAATCACCGCATAAAATAGTGGTTATAAAATGTTTATAACAATAATTTAGACACGAGAAAAGTCTGTTTACAAATATCTCAATATTGCTAGAAGAGGCTCTGAATATATTAATACGACAACACATACTATCTCTTAGTAATGCAGACGACGCAATACTTCTCTCTCAAAGTGAAGATGATTTACAACGTATGCTGCACCAATTTAATATATCCGCCAGAAAATTTAACATGTTAATTTCCCAAAAAAAAAATGACAAAATGCATGGATACAACAGCAAATTTACTAAGATGTAATTTGGAGCTGGAAGGTCAGATAATAGAACGAGTGATGGAGTTTAAATATCTAGGCATCAAATTATCTAGCTACGGAAAGCTCGAAACCGAAGTGGAAGATCAAGTGAATAGAGCAAACAGAGCCGCAGATTGCCTAAATGAAACAATATGGAGAAATAAAAATATTGGAAAATAAACTAGAGGCATAATTTACAAAACAGTCATCATACCAATAATGACATATGCGGCAAAAACAAGACCTAACACAAAGAGGACAAAAAGGATGTTAGAAACATCAGAGATGAAAGCAATTAGAAAATTGATGGTAAGACACTATGGGACAGAGCTAGAAGTACAGATATACGACATATATGCAAGGTGAAGAACATCAAATACTGGGTCAAGAAATAAAAGTGTAGAATGGAACGATCATATAAGCGTAATGACAACAAATAGAGCAGTAAAGATGGAAAAAGACGGTTCCCCAATAGGAAGACGATCAGTAGGAAGACCACGAAAACGATAAAATTACAACTTACTGGAGGCACATTTAAAAACAGAAGGATGCCATTTCTATATGAAAAAAAAAAGCTAAAAGTAACACAACAACATTTATGATGTATTTCTTTCGCCATATTATATAAAAAGTTTTGAGTTATACAAGATAAATGTAGTATATTGGTGGACATACGTAGACGACGTACTGGTATGTTTCACAGGAACTAACAGGCAACTCGACCAACTTTTATCGTATATTAATTCACTTCATAGTCATATTGAATTTACAATAGAAACAGAACAAAATCAATCCATAAATTTTTTAGATTTAAAAATTAGCAGATTTCAAAACAAACATGACTTCTCCATATTTCATAAACCTACCCATACTGACACGGCTATACACAATTCATCATCCCATCCAACACAACAAAAACTGGCAGCTTATCATAGTATGTTACATAGACTAACAGAAATTCCGATGTCAAAATACAGCTTTGAGACAGAATTAAATATAATTAGGCAAATAGCAGTAAACAACGGATACAACGAACAAACAATTAATAAAATGTTAAATTAAAAACTACATAAGAAAGCGCTGAAATTAGTATTTCCACCACCAGAGAAAAAACCAAGTACCTTCTGCTCGATTACATATACACGCAAAATAACAACAAAAATTGCCAAACACATAAAAAAGAAAGTAATAACACCAGAATTTCGAACAAATAACAACACAGGCAAATATATTAAAAATAACAAGAGCCAAAATAAAAAAACACTTAAATAGTGGTGTGTACAAACTTCAATGTATCCACTGCCCAAAATTTTACATCGGTGAAACTTTTAGAAACTTTGATAAACGAATAACAGAACATAAAAGGGCTTTCAAGAATAGAAAAACAGATTCGACATACGCACTTCACCTTCTAGATCATAATCATTCTTTTAATAACAAATTTAAAATTCTTCACATTCAAAATAAAGGCCTTAAGCTATCTTTGTTAGAATCTATGGAAATCAACAAATTAAAAAACGCAGATATAATTCTGAATGACCAACTTGAGACAAACAGTTCTCCCCTTCTCAACCTATTTCATTAGAGACTATAAATTTGTAAACCCAAGCCAAAAATAGATCACTTGAGAAAGGCAATCAGCCGAAACAGCTGTAGTGATAAGTTTTAAAATAAATTTTGTGGAAGTTTGAAAACAAAGTTTTCAGTGTTTTATTGTTACATTTCTGAAGTAGTCATGAAACTGGGAGCTGAATTCCACATCATACCGGTTATTTAATGATTCTTCCGAAGAGAAGTCTGAAGAGTGTCTTGTTGCACAATGGTAATACATGTTTCTCAACACCTGTTGTGCACTCCGTGTATCTGAAAGAAGCATATGAGAATCTTGAGCTGTTGCTAAATAAAATTAAGGTAAGCGAATATTGTTGGCAACTCTGTGAAGATCTTAAAATAATATCCATGCTTTTGGGTCAGCAGTCTAAATTCAGACTGCTGACTTGAAGTTTTACATCTGATCATTCAGAAATAGATTCAAGGTAATCGTGATCCTGGTAGACGAAGAACATCATGGCTGAAAAATCTAAGGCAATGGTATGGAAAATCAATTACATCGTTATTTAGAGCTGCTGTCAATAAAGTCACGATAGCGAATATGGTAGCCAATATGATATCCAACGATCGATAACGGTCATGGAACTAGAAGAAGAAGTCTAGATTCACAAAGTATCCATGTTTTTTATGTGAGAGGGATACTCGAGCACGAAATTTACATTACGTCTAAAAAGATCGGCCACTCAGAGAAAGACTAGTACCGGGACAAAAAAATG